TTCCTAGCTCTGGAGGGATCCCCGCGCCTGCGGGATGAGGCAGCATCGCTGCAGGGTGGGGAGGGCACGCGTGCGAGGTCCCGGAGATGTGGCTCTGCGGGAGGTCTGCGGGAAAGGCTCTACGGGACATGGTCTCTGGTGTTCCCGACTCTTGTTTCTGAGTTAACGCTTTTGAAAACACTAATAACGGCAGAAAAAGCTATGTGTAAAATACAGTGGTGGATTGTGGGAAGAGTTAGTCATCAGTTGGAAACTAATGTTTTGCAGTAATCTGGCCTCTTACAATGGGAGAAAAAACGTTACTGCATGCGTTTCAGAAACTAAAAGCTTTTCATAAAAAGGTGGCATACTTTCGGCCTTTTAAAATGAACTTACATCTCCAAGTGTAACATCATATCCAGTTCGTAAATAGCCTGAATGTGACCGGATTGGTCCGTGTGGATCTGCTGAGCTCATCGGTGCTGTCAAATGGGCAGTGTGTGGGTTGTGTTTATGCACATGTGCGGCCTAACAACAATGATGCTGTTTTCCTAGGTCCTCAATACTGAGCGAAGTTTCTACCCGGTCAAGATCTAAATTGCCATCAGGCAAGAATATTCTTGTTTTTGGTAAGTAACACATGCGGGCAGTTTGGTGGTTGGGGCTGTTTTTTTGTAGAAACAAAGGTGTTTAAAGCAGTGATGTGAACAAACTGACATGTCTGTTTAAATTAGGTTGTGCAATATGATCTATGCTGTTATTGTCTTCGGGCTCACAGATCTACTTTTTGTTTTGCACTATGAGATTTATAACATTCAGTTTACATTCCGTTTGTTTAAATATATGTCATAATTACATATATAATATATGTAATAATTACATATATGTAATAACTGACAGAGGGTAGGTTTAGATTCGATATTAGGAAGAAGTTCTTCCCTCTGAGGGTGCTGAGGTGCTGGCACAGGTCGCCCAAAGGAGCTGTTATTACCCCATCCCTGGAAGTGTTCAGGGCCAGACTTTTACCATAAAAGTCAGTTGGAGAAACTGTCTGCGACTCAGTTTGGAGTTTTAGCAAGCAGGCATTCCTTGTTACAGCGCTGGGCACACACGTGAATTGTTTCGTGAAGGTGAGCACACCCAGTACTTGCCAGCAGCAGCTGTATATTTAGCATACTCATGCATATACATAGCTTTCCCAGGAGCTAATTATAATATTTGCATCCAAATTACGCATGAGCTTTCTTGCTGAGTGGGGGTCTTTAGTGGTCATCAGTAGTCTTCCTCATTGTGTTTACTGAATGACCTCAGTGCTTGCGCACGCTTGCAAGGTCCTACTGCTGAATTAGCAGCTGGTATGTCCTTGCTTATGTTCTGTTCCAGTCTCGCTCCACGCTGGGCACCACTCTGCTGTCTGGAAGACTGGCATCATTGGTCTTATTTACTGTCTCCTTAATTGTTATCAGTCCCGTGATGTTCCTTCCCCTATCAGCCAAACATTCCTTTCTCTGTATGTCTTAGTAAGTTAGAACAGTTTGGTTTATTCTACTATGTTAAAGGCACACATGCTATTGTTAGTTTAAGACTTAAAGTTACAAGACCATTCTATGATTCTGTAAACTGAGTCCTGGTATAAGCTATTGGATTCAGCTGCAGTACTTAAAATAACAAGTATACAAGTATGGTGTGAAAATGTACAAGGATACTTCTGGTTACTTAAAGAGTTGAAAAATCTTTGAAAAATCTTCCTTCTTTTTTTTTTTTTTTTTTTTTTTTAGAAGTTAATGTTCTGAAAGTGTCTTTTTTCCCTGTAAAAACTTACTGGCAGGTGACGATGGTTCAGGTAAAACCACACTTATGACCAAAATACAGGGAGCAGAGCATGGCAAGAAAGGAAGAGGGCTGGAATACTTGTATCTGAATATTCATGATGAGGACAGAGATGGTAAGTTCATTTTATATGCAATCTCTACTGTAATTAAGTAACTTACATGCTTTTTTAATAACTGTGGTTTCATCAGTGTGTTTTGGGTTACACCCAAGTAGGTTGTTCCAGCATTGCTCTGTATCTTTTAGAAGCTGTATCAGTTTCTTAAAACTGAAATGCATTTTACCTTCAGTGTGCATTCTTCTCTTGCCCTTCTTACAGCTTGACCTGTATATAAGGGAAAAGTACACACTCACAGGATCCATTTACTTTCAGGGTAGATAAGTTTGCTGATGTTGACTTACTAGCAGATATATTGTCATTTAGTATGGCTGCTTGTTAACTGTACAAAGTAAGTGATACATCCATGAGAATTTAATTTTCAGTATGGATTTCTGGGCAGAGAGTTTTGTTTCCTTGTGGGGGCTGTGAGCAGAGTTTTGGTTAACTATAACTGAAATGTTTTGTTAGAATGAATGAGTGAAGAACAGTACTTAAAGTCAAAATTCGTATTTCCTTTTCTCAAATTGAAGCTTGTCTCTTTGCCCCTTATTTTTCTGCTTGTTGCTGTTGGTTACTGCTCGTGTTTTCTATATGGGAGGGGGATGATGACAAGAGACTGTTGAAAAGCAGGTCTGATGATCAGAACACCTCTATTGTTAGGAAAGTTAGGGATAGGAAGAGATGAGGAGCGATTTCCTGGCTTGTAAATCTGCCTCTGTTTGTTTTATTTTGGGCAAACTGCTGGGACCAATTTTGTGCTAGTTTCCACCTTCAAAAATGGGGAATGACAGTCTTCCTATTCATGACTTTCTTCAGACTTTTCAGTTCAGAAAAGAGAAGCAATGGTGGCAGTTCATCCATGTTCCTGAAAACGTATCAACTAGGAAGATCCTATAATGGTATTCTGGAAATGAAAATGTACTGAAGGCTTGCAGGAGTGATTAAGTACCATATGTGACTGGTTGTTATGGAGATTGGTCCTGTGCTCACATGATAGTAAACTGCCTTTGGATGCTAACTTAGGCACAATGAAAGGATGAGTACATTGCCTGTGTTTTCAGTGGCCACCAGATCTTGCAGTTCCTAAAACTCTCTTGTGCTGTAACTTCAAGCGCTGAGCCATTCTTGACTCCTTGAGATTATTGGTTTCAGTGCTTTTTCACCATGCACAAGCTTCCTTAGTACTGCAAAATACTTCAGGGGAAGAAACCACTACGATTAGGAGTGTTAAGACAGCCTGTGACATCAGGCTTCTTGCAACATCAAAGGAGATGATATTATAAGCAGAAAAATGTTTGGTGTGCTATTTTTCCTGGTGCTATCAAACCTCAAGTATGTCCCTTTGGAAATATTTTGGGGCTATTCCTGAGTATCTGGAGGTGATGAGTATTCAAGATGATTAGGAGAAGCCTGTCTTAAGAACTCAGGCAGCACTAACAGGGAAAAAAAAAAGACCTTTTTGACTACCAGACTCAGCTGGAGAATTCAGGTCTTCATGCATCACTTTAGTGGATGTGTTAGGATCTAATAATACATGCTTTTTGCTTTTCTGTCTCATTAGTGTCGTCAGCAAGCAAAATAAATAGCAAAGTGGGTCAGGACCTCCCAGTAGGCAAAGATAGCACTCTTCCTTCTCTGGGGCACATTTGGGTTTGTTTCTTTAAACTCTTTGCATGCTTTAGGTGTGTGTTTGCTTGGATGTGTATTTGGGAACAAAACCTTTAGAACTGACCCACACTTCTTGTAAGCCATAAAGAAACTCAAGATAGGCATTCAGGAGCTTACTATCACACGTTCATTTTTGGGGGTATCTGCTTCTCATTATACTCCAACTTGTTCAAGACCAGCAAACCACAAGGATTTCCAGGAATGTTAAATCCATACTGGTAACTGAAACTCCATAGTGGAGTGAGATCTTTCCAGCCTCTTTCCCAGGTGCTGGAAGATTTCTTTGCTCTCTTTGCCTTTTTCTTCTTCATTTCAGAAGGTTTTATTCTATCCAGGAGAAATACTTCGGTCATAGTGCTGAAATACTGAGGAAAATCTTCTGTGTTGTTTCTTATCCTACCCCTGCTTCCTCCTTAAAGGATAATTGAGTCTGGGTCCTCCTATGTTTAAAGCAGAATTACTCTAGATTGATAGGTGTTTATCTTAGTTTACAATTACTTTTGTCTTTTCTCTTAAAGATTAGATCAGTGGTTAAATTTTGTTTGGGTTTTTTTAGGGGGGAGGTTTGTTGTGGTTTTTGCTTTTTTTTTTTTTTGTGTTTGTTTTGGTTTTAGGAAACTTAAATGCATGGAAAGCACCTCTTTTATGAAGGACCCCTGTGGCTAATACCATTTTGTTTTCACTGTCATCTCTCTCTTTCTTGACAGTGGCTGGTATGTAGCTTAGATGGCAAGATACACATCACCACTGTGTTCATAATCAGCTGGTTCAGTTCTGTTAGATATTTGTTCAGCGTAATGTGCAGTAGTTCCTTAGGTGTGAGGATAACTTAGAATAAGTCCACTACTGAATCTCTACTTGAAAAATCTCCTTCTTAGGATACTGTCCAAATTCTGCCTTGGGTAAGACATTTGTTCAAGACAAGGTTCGGGGATGCATGAGAAGCAATTTTGAGAGAGAGATGATTCTCTTAGATCATTAGCCCCAGGTACAATACCCTTGGAGCATATGACTTTTTCTGCTTACATGACACCGTAGTTCATCTGGATGAAAACACAGCACTACCTGTAAAGTTAACTGGGAATGTTGACGTGACTGTGCAGCTCAGGCCTGAGAGCCCTCTGTTAATGGAACTTCTCAGGGACTGTGGCCAGTTTTTATTTTTTGCCTTTCTTTATGATGAGCAGATGTTTTGTGTCTGTGCTGGCCAGTCTGCTTTTCAGAGTTGAGAATCTTAGTTTGTAGGAGGTAGAAGATAGGCTCTGCATAATTTGCCTAAAGGATATGTATTTCTAGAGTACCTTTTAGAGTCTTGTGCAGAGTAGTTAAAAGTGAGGATGTACAGCAGGACAGTGAGACAAGAACATTGACTGGTTTTGCAGCAGTGCTATGTGGGGTAGTTGGCAATTATAAACACCACAGAGAACTCTGGGTTGATTTGCCTCAGATTACAGGTGCAGGACAGCTGTCCCAACGGTGCCAAATATGCCAGTGAAGTGAAGCCATTCTGTTGTGTTCTTACTTGTCACAAAGTCAAGTAGTCTTCATTTTTTGCCTCAGGTTTGGACTGGCCTCAGTCGTATCATATGCATAGTGCAGTTGAACTGGTTGTTCCAGATGGAGCCAAGTGCTGCTGGTACCCTGGTCTCTAATGGGAAAATTGTCTTTTTGTCAACATATTAAAGTAGTGTTCTTGGAAATTATTTTTCCCTGTTTTGCTTCTCTTCAGAGCTTGTACAAGGGTTGTATAAGTACCACTGATACTTTTTGAGTAAACACAGGAGTTGTAGTTGCAGTTCACAGAATCAACCACCTTCAGTAAAATTCATCAAAGCTGGAATTCTTTCATGGCTAAAGGGATAATGAAATATTGACAGTTTAGAAGTGTAGTTTTAGCACCTATCGAAGCAGTCTTTAATAAGTAGCACCTGCTTTTTCCAACAGGATCTGGTAATTGCTTGCTGTTTTGGCATCTGTCATAGTCACTGTGAAAGGTTCAGTTACTGTTCACATCATACGACTAACTGGGAGCTTAATGTGATGCTGACGAAGGTGAATTTTGAAATCAAGTCTGTGCCAAATTGTGAACAACCAGTACTGTATTTTTAAGTGTAGCAAATGTAAATCACAAGCCATACTTGTGATTTCCTTTACTTTAGGAAAGGAGCAAAACCTGTGGTTTTCATAAAATTCTATATTATTCTTTTAAAATATACTTAATTTGAGTGCTAGGCTTCCGGTCTTCCTAGCAGATTGATTTCATTTGAGTGATAGTTTCAACTGCATTCTAGTTCTGCCTCTATTCTAGTTCCAGTCTGTAATCTAGGTGTTAAGCAGAAAAGAAATCCTGAAGTAGGACAAACTCTGTGATAGTGCTGATGAGAGTTGTAGACATTCATAGCCTCTGGGTAGACTTAAGTTTTTGAAATTTGTGCATTTGCTTCAAGGAGACAGTTGTGCATAGAGGTAGTTAATGTCTATTGATAACTTTTAACTCACAGAAAGATCACAGGGTTTCTGTTCACTGGCACTGGTAGATTTCTGCTTTGGGGAATATACAAAGGATGTGTCTGGAATGTGGAGGATAACAGAGTCCTTCCTGCACAGGTGTTTCATTTACTATAGTAAATAGTAACATATTATAGTAATAGTAAATATATGTATGTTCACATTATGTCCTAGCTTCATTTCTGTTTTTTTCCAAAGTTTTACCAGACTTCCCTCTGCCCTTAGAGGTCCTCCAAAAGCTTTAGATTCGTCCATCCAGTGCTGTGAGAATCCTGTGTGATACCAGTGAGACAGTTTCCTGAAGTGAGGTGGAGGGACAAGGGAAACAATGGACAAATATGCAGAGGTGCATTTCTTAGACACACAACCATTATTGTCACTTGTTTAACTGCAAATAATAGATTTGAGATGTGCAGCTGGAAGTAAAGAGATCTTTCAAGGCATAACTGTTGGCCTATTTGTGTGATAACTGATGGTTGAATGTCTTTTGACAACCTAACAGTGCTTAAGTAGGAGCATGACAATGCTAAATGAAGACTGCCTGTGTATAGCATCTTGATGTAATCTGTCTGTAACTTGGCTGCTCAGTAATTTTATCCAACACCTGATTAGAAGGGTGGTATGTGTATCTGTGTTCCCGTTTCTTCTTCCAACTTGGTCAAGTTTTTGCCTTTTTCTAGAGCCAGTGTTTTTGATCCTAGTGGATTCTTTCCTAGAGTAAAGCTATGATAGCCACAGCAGCTGGATTTATTTTGTGAAGTTGAAGGATTAGCAGCACAGGGCAGAGGAATATGGTGAGGCAGAGTAATGACAAAGCTCAGTGGCTGGTTTGAAAATCTGGGCTCTGTAGTAATTGGTTTGCTGAATTCACTTATTAGAATTCATAGATCTTGTATTTAATACCTATGGAGACCCACTGTTCCCTCTGGACAGCTACAGTAGAATAGGGAATATTTTGAAAGAGGTACTAAGAAAAGTCTAGAAGATAGAAAAAAATTAAGGTGTTCCTTTTAAGGAAGAAGTTCTGAAGATACTGTAATTTATTTATTTTATTAATTTGGACAGAATGGTTGTTCATTGTACCTGACACATCATTTCTAGTTGATACTTAATTTTCAGTTTCTTCTGTTTTTGCCAAAGTTCAGGTTTGGGGTAAAACATCTCATGCCAGCTGTCTGTTCCAGATGATTTTTCCCACCCCCCCACCTTGCATTTAAGCAAAAAGTGTCCAGCTGCTACCAAAACACTGGGAGGGGGGAGAAACACAAAAACTAAAATTCCAAATGCTTTGTCCGGTACTCATTCTGTGAGGAGTCTGCAAGTAGAGGCCAATGTGGATTAAGAGCAGGTAGCACAACTTTAAGGTTTGGTCAATTTTAAGTTTATCCTGAGTTTGCTCGTCCTACTTCTGTGCTAGAAACCTAAGCTGCTTATTGCTTGTATCTTGTTTGCGGCTTATTTCTCTTGTGAGATGTCTTTAGTATGTTAAACCAGCTTATGTGTCTGAGGGACATCTAAGGCTTTCCCGCTGGACACAGCTATAACCACCCCTTTGGAACTTGGAGTTAGATATGGTGCACGTATTCTGGTTTTACCTCTAATAAGTGTCTTTCAAATTCAGGAGTGCTGTGCAGTGTCTTAAAGCTGTTGTGCCAGATGTCTTAGTGAAAACCAAAGAACAGAAATTATTTTTTTTTTTTTAAAGGAAATAGTCTGAACCAAGAAAAATATCCTCCTAAACAAAAGCATCTAATGAGTAATGTAGGCATTTAGACATGTGTCTGTCTTAATAAACAGGCAGGGTCTGCTGGTAGCTGGGCTTTGGCCTTCCATTTAATAGTCATGTACTCCTCTGATCACTTGCAGGCTAGCAAAGCAAAAAGTTCGCATCTGTTGTATTACAACTGTACTTTTCCCTTTCAGATCATACTCGCTGTAATGTTTGGATTCTGGATGGAGACTTATACCATAAAGGGCTATTGAAGTTTGCAGTTTCTGCAGAATCCCTGCAAGACACCATTGTAGTCTTTGTTGCAGATATGTCTAGACCTTGGACTGTTATGGAGTCTTTACAAAAATGGGCCAGTGTCTTGCAAGAACATATTGATAAGATGAAAATTCCTCCAGAAGAGATGAGAGACATGGAACGGAAGTGTAAGTCTTTGTGAATCCACACAGTCTTTTTTTTTTACTACCTGTTGCAACTTCCTTTTGTAATGATAAATGTCTTCAGATTAGTGCTTTGGGAATGGGATGGATAAGAATTACTTTGAAGTTGTGATTGTAACTCTAATATGGATAGACTGTATTAGGCTTTAAAACAACTCTTCCAGTTTGACTGTGCTAAAAAAGCATCAGGTGAATTTAATGGTCTAAATCCCCTGCAGTAATGAGATTTTGATAACTCTATTTTTATAAAGGCCAATTTTTTAAAAAAAATACAGCTCCACACAGAATCACATTTTCAAAAACAGTGACAGATTTCAGTAGCATAGTGAGCTGTCTGCTTTCCAGTGCTATCTAAGCCAGGTCCCATTCCCATACTGTGTATGTTTTCCAGTTGGTCTCTCTGCCCTTGTTTTTCACATGGCTCAGACTGTGATCCTGGTACATCTAATTGTCTCTCCCTGCAGCGTCTCCTATCCTGTGACTTTAGGAATGTTGTATAAACTAACTTTCTTTCCTGGCATATCTGTGGCAGGAAAGAATCTGGCACTGGCAAACAGACATTGCTGCAGTATTATTATTTTCTGAAGCTTCTTTTCTTTTCTAAAATGGTTTTGAATGTTTCTTGAGAGTTTTTTCTGTTTGTTTTCCTACTGGATTACTCCAAAATAAAGTCCTTCAGTAGAAAATACCTTAGCCCCATGGATTTCTCTTCAGCTAAAGTTTAGATTCATGCTGATCATTGCTCTTTGCTGCTTTCGTTCAGGGTGGGTGACTGGCTGTACTGAAGTGTTTCAACCTTGCAAATACTGTCTAGTAGCTTCCATAGATTCACTTTACGGAGCAGCGTAATCTGTTTGTTCTGTGAACATTCAGATGTATTTGTGTTGCTGATATTCTTTACAAATGTTAAATATTATTTTCCTGAAAGGCTTGTGCCTACAGCATGCTAGCTAGAGTTTAAAATTAATGACTGAAACCACCTGGGTTTGGTCACCTGGTTACATAAAAAGGTAAAATCTGACAATTCGAAGAGAAAAAGCATTCCTCCCCCACCCTCCCTTGTGTGTGAGAGATTTGGGGAGAATGGGAGATAGAAAGGCAGTTTTAGTCTCACAATACAGCAGCTAACTTGATTTGTGCTGTTCTGAGGCACACCAAATTTTATGGCTGTCCATATAAATACACAGTGTTTTCAGCCTTCACTAAGACTGTACTCTGTGAAGGAGCCAGTTACATCTATGGCAATGCTTTACCACCGTGTTTAGGGAACTTAGAAGACATTCCAGTAGTGTTGTCTCAAAGATTTCTAAATTAAAGCGTTGTGGAAATTCGTGGTTTCTCTTGCGCGTTGATAAAAGACAGAGGAAAAAGAAAATTGGACAGCCAATTCACACGCTTGCAGGACTCTGCTGCCATCCCATGGCTAGGCGGTGAACTTCGGTCCAATATCAGCACCCCGATGAAACAGGGGAGTGTCTCCATTCACGAACTTCCACCTCACTCCTTTTCTCAGTCGCTGTGTAGTACTTTTGTCATCTCAGGTATTTGTCTCTGACTTCTTGCAGACTGTCCCTAAGGCCAGATCTGTGCTCAAAACTTTGGCCACCATAGCTTGTAATTCTTCTAACAGCAAGGTATGCTAGAAGAAACTTGTAACTCTGTATCAGTGTAACTGCTTAGACAATATAGAGCACTCATGTCTGAAGAATGCCTTGTGACCACAGTCCATCAGTAAAGCAATACCAGCAAAGTTTTCCTTACTAAAATCCTGCTTCATACACTGCCTGAGATAAGCTGCCACTTAGAAAATGAAGAATCACTATGTTGCAGTAGCTGGGATGTGAAAAACCTGGGATAATAAAGCACATATGCAAAGCAGGCAGTCAAAACAGAGAAACAAGCTGCAGAGTGATGTGCTAAATTCACTCCAGTAAAGCCCCACTGCAGCATAACATCACATGGATGTATGTTCAGCTTGCAGAACCATGTTCCCTTTATGCTTGTTTCTAGATACAAGCTGTGGCATGTGGACCAAGCTGAATGCCAATGGTGCTTTCTGGTACCAATACCCACTAGTTCTTGTTGACCCCGAAGAAACATTTTTTGTTCCATTAGCATCTGTTTAAGTGCTGCTAGGTTGTTCTTTCTTCATTACTGAGATGTTACTAACAGTTTCCAGTAGTCCTTTTGTTAGCTCACCATTCTCAATGGAATTGAACTTCGGACTGCTTGTCTTTGCATTCAAGGTTTTTGTGGCCTTTCTCCACCCAGTCTTTTGTGTTGTGTTGGCTATTTGAGATACTGACTCTTGGCTTTACTGGGCAGATGATGCTAGGCTCCATCTGGTATACAAGCAGTTTTCCTTTTGTGCTTAAAGAGCTTCCAGAGTGGGAGGCAGGACACACATGTGAAGGCAACAGGCTGCCTTGAAAGAAATTGAATTATTCAGAGTATACCAGCAGCATTGTCAGTCTGCTCTCACTCCTACCAGTGAGCTGCTCTGGAAATTCCTTGCGAAAAGCTTGGCTAATGTGGGTTCAGGTAAATAATGTCAGTTTAAATGTTCCAATTTAATTCAGACTCAATTAAGATAAATAATTTTTTTAAATAACACACATTTGAATAACTATTTCAGGGAAGATCTAAGTGTTGCCTTCCTGTGTATGACACCAAAGCAGAAAACTGTTAAGAATCAAGAAATGCAGAAAGGAAGTATACTGGTAAAATGGCTGTTATATTAATGTCCTTGGGAGCTCTAGAAGATACTTGAATACTTGAAAATCCTTGAAACAATAGCATATTTTCCTGAAAATTAAGCACTGCTCCATGGAAGCTGACTTAGTTATTAGGTTTTTTTTGGGGGGGGGGGTTGTTGGTTTTTTTTGTTTGTTTGTCTGACATACAGCTGGAAGAATTCTTAAGCTAAAAGCTAAAAGAAACGTACTTTGCCTGGACATCTGTTGCCTAGGAATTCTTTTCACAAGACTAACACGATCAGTAAAGATGGTGCACAAAAAAACAAAGCCAAAAGCTGCATGAATGTGAAACTAATAGAGTGTAAATATGGAATGGTTGTCTGGAAAAAGAATTCAGCATTTTTCTTCCTCTGCTGCTCAGGCCTTTGTGACCTGTCTAGTTCAGTAAGTTACAGTGTTTGCCATTTCCGTACTGCAGTTATACAGTAATCCAAGACTGAGGATTTTATTGTTATAAAACAATTAAACCTAACAGTAATTGTGGATTGATTTCTTGGTGGTACTTGGAGTCAATTGTTCCTGTGACATGAATGATTCCAGTTATAGTTAGCTTTCAGGAGCTTGTGTAAATAAGCAGGAACATGAGAACAAACCAGTTAATTGGAAACTTCGATTCATTTGCTGTGTTAAGTGCAAAATTACACATAAAAGGCTTTTTCCTAGATAAGCCACGAGTCTGGTAGATAAATCAGCACACTGATTTTTATGTGTGATTTTTATGGCACACCATCACCTGGTGATAATTTTTCAAATTTGCTTTCTGTAAGGTCGTCAGTAAACATACTTAATGTGCACAATGTGCAGTGGAATTTTGATTTCCAGTTGCCGAATATGAAACAGCAAAGGAAAGCATCTCTGAAAGTACTGTTGTTTCCGCTCCACCAGAAGGCACTGCCTCCCCAAGTTCAAAGGCAGCTGCATTTGATTTTTTTTTTAATTTGTTTCCTTGGAGCTTGGGATATACTGATTTGGTGACTGGAGTCTTACGGTCTATATTTAATATGGGTTTTTAAGCTTTTCTCTGGACTTAAGGCTCTTGTTTTCCCCAAGAATCACACAAATTTATATTTCAAATAAAAATTGTGGATTGTGGGGCTCTGAACGGAAGTGTTTTTCTGCTTTGTTCTTCCTTCCACATGCCCATTCTCCTTCAGGAATGGTTTCTATTTTGAAAAGGTACAGTGACTTCATTTTGCAAGATTGTGTTACAAACCTTTTGGAGGTTTTACCACTTCCTAAACCTCGGGAGGAACAGATGGCCTGCAGTACAGTTGCAGCTCCTTCCCTGTCACATGGGTGGATGTACTGAACAACACTGTCTTTGTGACCATGCTGGAGACTGGGAGCTTTTTTGGAGAGCTTTCCTTACTGTACGTACAGTCAGCCTGCTCCCACTGTTTCTAAAATAAAGTTGCTTTCATGGGAGCAAATTGTGGAGCTTTGCTTGCCTCTTTCCTGAGAGCTTCTCATGGCTGAGCAAGAAGGAGGCTTCAGGTGGAGTTGTCATGTGAGGGCAAGCCCTGGGCCTTCAGGAAGTGCTGAGCTGGGAGCAGACACATCCAATAGGCAGATTGATCTGGTCTGTGTCTTTCTGTCTGAAAAAATACATAAAGGCTGTAAATTGCAGCCCAGTTTTGATAAAGCATGTGTGGGGTCACAGTGCACTTCCAAAATGGTGTTAATACTATTTCTTAGGCACTTTGATAATATTCAGTAGGGACACTCATTGTTGCCATGAAATTAAAACACTGGAAATGTAGAAAACATCTAGTTTCCTCTGGACTCCACTATAGTCTTCCAAAATGTAACTGAGTCTCTTCAGATAATATTTAGAAGTCCTTGAGTCTGTATTTACACAGTGTAATTTTTATATGCCTAGCACTGGACTCCTGCAACACAAATAGAAGCTTAAGTTGAGTTACAGTTTATAAGAAAGAGTGGCTGTTTCAGCTTGGTGTTTTCTGGGTCCATTTACATTTTCACCATACTTTCTTCCCAAACCAGGTGTAAATTGCACTAAGTCTAAGCTATGTTGCTAAACTGCATTTATGTTTTCTGTTTTCAGCTGCCCTACAATGAAATGCATTGAGTTGAGGAATGTGCATTTGTGTATGCTATAGCTCTTGCAGCTATAAATGCACTTATTTTAGCTTGCTGAAATTTTTACTGGACGAGAATTGTGTTTGAAGGGGCCACAAGGCTTAAGTTTGTGTTCTGTTCTCATGGAGTACCTCATTATGAAAGGAGAAAAAAAAAAAAGGGATTTCTAGTTAGTCATGGGTTAATTATGGTTTGAGAAGAACTAGTTCCTTTGTTGTGCCTTAAGATCTCTTTCTTAATAGTTATAAAGGAGTTTCAAGAGTATGTAGAACCTGAAGAAGGCTACCAAGGATCACCGCAGAGAAGAGGCCCTTCTGGCCAAGAGGATGAACATGTTTCTTTGCCACTTGGAGAAAATGTGCTGACTCACAACCTTGGTATTCCTGTGCTGGTAGTTTGTACAAAAGTGAGTTTCTAGTTCTGTTTGCTACTACAGAAAAGTTTAATTACTTTTCTTCTAGAAGACATGCTTTATACAGATATGCAGAATGAATTCTGGATTAATAGTAAAGGGATTTATTTTAAAAGTAAGTAAATTTTTAATTCTGCAGAAGGGTAATCACCTCATCAATTATATGTTAATTACTTTCTCTTTTGAGTTATTGGTGGCATTTTAAAACCAAAGGCTCACAGTAAATGTGATGCGTGTGTAATATTCAGGAAGATGTTTTAGGATGTGCTGGAATTATATGACTGGGTTTTCTGGTTTTGTTTTTCTCCCTTTCTGCCAGTGCGATGCAGTGAGTGTACTAGAGAAGGAGCACGATTACAGAGAAGAACACTTTGACTTCATTCAGTCACACATTCGTAGATTCTGCTTACAGTGTATCCTTTCCTGTGCTGAAGAGATTTGCTGTAATCTGGAAGCAAGAAACTATGTTTTAGTGTTGAATTGCACATAAAGTTAATCTGAGAAGTTGCACTTCAAGATTGCTTGGTATTTAGTTATTTACTCTGTAGCATTTGTTGTTTTGAAGTTGTTGATATATGTTTTTAAATTGTGCATGGGATTTGGCACTTATGTTCCTTTACAATGGATTTGTCTTGCATTGTATGAGGTTTTTTCCTTGGTTTTCCCCTCAAAACTTGCAATTTCCATGTAATCCTGAGATCTCAGCTGTCTCCTAATACTAAATGGCTTTAACTAGTGCCTTGAACTGCTTCTCAAAATTTGGTCTACTCCTAATACTTCCGTTAGCTTCTGTTCTGAAATTCTTACTGTAATTTAAAAACCGTGTTACAGAATTTTCCTTAAATAAATAATCAGATGGGGCTGCCTTGATTTATACATCAGTTAAGGAGGAAAAGAACCTTGATCTGTTGTATAAGTACATTGTACATAAAACATACGGTTTTCAGTTTACCACACCTGCCTTAGTGGTAGAAAAGGATGCAGTTTTTATGTAAGTCAGTTGTATGAGCAGCATGGTTTCAGTTTGTTTTCTGTTAAGCACTATACTTCATACAACACATAAGTAAAAATGACTTGAATTGTTTGTGTCATTCAAAAGCTTAGTATGTGAGTCTTCTGAAATTCTGCATTAAAAAAACTGTAATGCGTATTATTTAGGTTCCTTAGAGTATACCATTCCAACTTTTTAGTATCTTTGGAATTTAGCTGAGAACTAGGACTGACCTGTAATAAAATTGCCTTATTGAGGTAGAGGACAGTAAATAAATGGTCTCTGTAGAAGTGTTTTTTGTGACTGAAAAGCCTGAACTTTCCTTCCTTTTATAGACCTGCTGGTTGGGACAATGAAAAGAAAATTGCCATTTTACATGAAAATTTCACGACAGTGAAACCAGAAGATGCATATGAGGACTTCATTGTAAAACCTCCTGTAAGAAAGGTAAAAAGGAGTAAAGTTTTCCCTCTGCCCTCACACACAAGTAAAGTTTGCTCGAGTGGCTGCTAAATACTTATTAATATTGAAGAACTCTGAATTAAATATACGGGGGTTTTGTATCCAGATGTGTGAAACATGAGGCTTCCATTTTCCAGTTGTTTAAATACTGTAGGCAAACACAGAAATCATTCAGCTTAGTGAACGAAAGGCAGTCCAAAAATAACCATTTCACATGGACCTGTCTGCATGTGTGGGGCAAGATTGCCTTTTGAAAATGGAGAATACTTCTGTAGGACTTCAGCAATTTACACACATACACACGTGGCATTAAGGTTACCATGTAAAGGCAAATCTTGTAAAACAAGACAGTCTGTCTCTAACTGCATTAATGCACTATTAATAACGGATTTCTTTCGCTAGGGCAAGAGCAGTGAATGATCCATATAAATTCTGCTTATTGCTAATTTTGCGAGTATAGGCACACAGGATTAGGATATGTGTAAAACAGATAATATGGAAAATTGTAAAGAAAATTTTTTGGTTTCTATCAGAAAACTTCTTTTACAACTTCTGTACACACCTGATGTTTCTAGATCAAGCCCCAGTCTTGGGAAAAGGGAAGAGCCATTTGAAGCTTTCATGGAAGGGAAAGGTTTAATCCTGTTTGTAACTCATGGCACCCATAGGAAATAATAATTTCCTAATAGCAGTGTTAGGACTGATAAGAGCTAGCATAATGCTTTTGGGGCTGAAGGATTGAGTGTGGGGTTTTAGAGGGTGAGGTTGTCTTGGGTCTCTGTAGAGACGATGGTAAGATTAATAGTTAAAAAGATGAATGTGTCTACTTACCAAGTACTCATCTTTCTAGGAGAATACCCACAGGCTGGCATCAATGCTAGTCTGCTCCATTCACTTAACAGTATTTTTTTTTCTATGACAACTTCTTTAATGTTACTACTTTTAAATGTGAAAAATTGGGGTTTGTTGGGTTTATTAATGGTATTAAAGATTTGCCTCTTTTTATTTCCCTTTGATTACCAAAACATATAAACAGTTACAGTAGTTTCAGTTTTTACTTCTAATAACAAGATACGTTGTTCTACAGTTAGTCCATGATAAAGAGCTGGCAGCAGAAGATGAACAAGTATTTCTTATGAAGCAGCAGGTAAGAATGCATGAAAATAAGTCCGTACTAAGTAAGATTTCACTTTAACCTCTGCATTATTATTGCCTTCAGTTTTTCATGCCTCATTTAAACTACTAGAAAGTCACTTTTCAGCTTTGCAAATTCAGATGTAATTGTGAAGTAAGACTTTATTTTAAGTAATACAGGTAGAAAATATGGCCCTGTATCTTGGCAAGTTGAAAGGAAAATACGCTGAGGACAGAAATAATTCATGTTTTGAAGAAGACCAAGATAATTTGAAATTTTGCAACACAGTTGTATTGATTGTGAAATACAAATACTAAAACATCTTAGGGTTGTGGTTTTCTTACAGACAGACACTTGAAAGACTTTAAAGTGTCAAATTTGGCTATTCTGCTGTTTGTCTATTTCTTGCCATTTTCTTTATTGCTCTGTTGTTTTAAAAAAACTATTAACACTTTCCTGTATAGCTGATTATAAATGTTGTAGAGGTTACAGATTTGGGTGTCTCTGGTTTATGGTTCTGGAACGGCTGTGTACAGAACTGATTTACTCATTTTAACTCTGTCCTCTAGTGGTGAAGTCTGGAAGTATATAAATGTCAAAGAGGAAGCCTGTAAATATCAGGGAAAAATATCAAATATCACTGTATTTTATTCCTTTATATTTTTTAAAGTATATTTATTATTTTAATATGTTTTGCAGTCATTCCTTGCCAAACAGCCAGCAACGCCTACAAGAGCATCAGTAAGTAAATCTAAGAGAAGAGTAGGAGGTGTTTTGTTTTCCTTTAGGAAAGAGGGGAATGATTCTAACCTGTAGAGGTTCATTTTGTAAACATAAGTGTAAAATACATAATATCCCCAAAACTGCAGGAAATAAAAACAACAAAGGTGGCAATATTTTAAAATGTTCCTTATAAATTTCTTCATTCCAATTCACTGTGGAAACATAGAAATATCTGATGATTATTGAACTGAAAACTTCCTGCAGTGGAGGAGCATGCCCAAAATAACTGGTGGTGTTTTCCCCAATGTGCATACACTACAGTGCTAATACAAAGGTTTAAAAAGTAATTTGTATGTAGTGTTACATTTGCTTTATGTAATTAACCCATTTAAGTTCTCTGATTTGTGTGATTTTTGACTTGTTTTAAGGAATCTCCTGCAAGAGGCCCTGCAGGGTCCCCAAGAACTCAAGGCAGAGCTGGTCCCACCAATGTACCCAGTGCCTCACCAATAACATCAGTTAAGAAACCAGATCCAAATATTAAAAGTATGAATAATCATTTTACTGTTTTTATCATGTGTTGTTTACATTAAAAAAAAATACTTCTTTGTAGGAAGATTTTGGAATTTATTCATGAATGGTTTAATAACAGGAATGAATTTATGACATAGCTTCACGTTTGATTTCTTTCTTTTTTCTTCCTTTTTTGTCATTCATATGACTTGAAACAGAGCACTCAGAGTTCAGAATTTGCCTAAACATACGTAATACTTTGTTTCTTAGCTACTACATTTAGAAAAAACAAAGACATACAAATGGATTAAGGTTTTGTGACAGTCGCACATTCCAGAAGAGCAGTAATATGCTTTCAGTTATCTTTGACATTACCAAAGAATGCAAAGGACTAGTGTCTTTAAATTGAGCAAGGAGAGACTCTCATATTTGAGGGTTATTTCCTTGATTGGTGAGAGTTGTGTGTGTATGTAAAGTGTAAGTTACACCATTTACCAGCAATAACTATTCTGTGATTATATATATATGTTGGTTCTTTGTTGTTTGTTGTTTTGGTTTTTTTTTTATTCAGATAATGCTGCAAGTGAAGGTGTCTTGGCTAGTTTCTTTAACAGTCTCCTGAGCAAAAAGACTGGCTCTCCTGGGAGTCCTGGTGCTGGCGGAGTGCAAAGTACAGCCAAGAAATCAGGTATTGGACTTGGGATATAGATACAGATATAGATATATATATATATATATGCAGGCTGTTTTGCATATTTTCAATAATTTATTACATCCACATTGGTCTCACTGCATCTGTCTTTTAAACTGGTCAGTGAAGTGACAGATATTGATAGATGACAGTGCCAAATCAAGCTGTCTTTAAAAAGAGAACTAAACTACAATTTCACAACTCCAGGGCTTCTGTTAAGCCTATTACAATGTGATTCTTTGAAGAAGTTATACTGCTGGGATATAAATAACATTTGAATCTTGATCATATTCAGAAAGTGCTCATTTCCTTTTGTACTTTAGAATTCCTTCCTTTCTTGACACTTAACTGTTGCTTGAAGGAAATGCAGTTTGTTGGATTTGGACTGCAGTTTCTAGTCAAACTATTGAACTCTCTCCAGGTTTCAAGTTAAATGAACTACTTCTTATCACAGCTTGAGGTTATTCTCTCATTAATTAGTATTTTATTGTGATCCAACACAGTAAAATCCAACTGGATTTGTTCTGTGTATGTGCCTATGACTGCACTGTGTGAGGTATTTGCTGGAAAGTAATTGCACTGGTCTTGGTGAAAATAGAAGAAGCCTGTCAGAATACTTGGTAGCTTTACTGAACTCAGTGTTGTAAAATGTGTGGTTGTTCTATCTGATATTAGCAATTTAATACTTTGGATTATTTAACTGCTTCTTTTTGATTTGGCATTCCCATCACACTTAACATTCAGGAGATTTCTTTCCAGAATTATTTCACTACTAAATTATTGATAGAAAGTCTACTTCTGAACTCAGACTTGTGAAACCATGTAAAATGTAATGGTGATGCCAAAGCCATGGTGTGTGATACTTAGAGGAGGGTGTAAGGGCCAGGCATTCTGAACTGGAAATGAAAAGTATTTGATGCTAGCCACAGTCATGGTATTGCCAGTAAGAGATCCAGAGCAGCTGTTGGAGTGTGGGAGTTTAAACTGAAACTATTCCTGGAGAGGTGAAGTAAGGATTTTTGGTTTTTTAGGGGGAAAGGTTTTATATGACGTTCTGTGCTCTGAAAGCTCAAAAGCAGCTAGAATTTGGCTTCTGGCAAGGCAGTATTTTGTTGTTGGTTTGTTTGTTGGTTTGTTTTTTTTTTTTATCATGATGAATTCTGTAATTTATCTTTGAAAGAATTATTATAAAGATAACAAAGAACTGTTTGTGTTATTTACATAATATTACTGTATCTTCATTATAAAAATAATTCTTTCTTAATCCAGAATGCCCTCTTCAGTTAAATACTGGAAGGTGTCCCCTGCTTCATCAAATACAACCTTGTGCTATTACTGACCACACTGTCAAATTAACTGTTTTAATAAAAATAGAACCAGAAATAATTTTTAAGGATTATTTCATGCATGTTCTTTATTTAAAGCAGAATCAGTTACAAGATCCTGGCTAGCAGTTAAAACCAAACTGAAATAAAAGATCTAATGTCATCTCACCAGGAAGTCTATTCTAGTACTTAATTTCTTAGTTATTTTTTTCTCTTGTACAGTCAGTATTTCTTAATCCCAATAGTATTTGTCTTGTTCAAGTGGAGGCAGAGATGAGTCGCCCTTTGTCTTTGCAGCAGCCTGTGGCATATTTGAAAGCTATTACCCATTTGCCTGTGACTTTTGTCTGGACTACAAAATATATTTCTGTTGGCCTTTCCTCATAGGACTTGTGTTTATGGCTCTTACAGTTCTTACTGGTCTTCTTTGGAATGTCTCCTCACATGAGCTGTTCCTTTTCATACTCAGAAGTGAACGCAGTACATCAGACAAGGCTTTGTCTGCCCTAAATAGGGGTTACTTAATCTGTGTTATGTATGGTGCTTCTGTTTAGATGTCTCATTGTGATGCTAGTTTTTATCCGTATGATGTTAAACACAATTTGTTATAACAATACAGCCAGTTTAATACAATTTCTGCCTCCTAGTAGGAGGTTTTCTAGTCTGTACCAAATTACCTTAGTATTTCAAAAGGTCATACATTTGCTTAATCATTGTTTTCCATTCTATTATTATGGCCCACTTTGATAATTTATATGAATAACTTTTGCCTTTAAACCTGTCTTTTGAAATCCTTTGTATTCCCTTCATGCATGCTTGCCTACATATCTGATACCTTCAACAGCTGGACAAGGTAGTTTGCTGAATAGTACTGACTAGTACTATGGATAACTAATGGGTGATTTTATGAATTACAATACATTAATTTTTCTGAAATATCAGGACTGTTTTTTTGTCTAGTTATTTATATGAAGGTCATGTAAGATGTGATATCGACCACTTCTCCCTTCTCCACAGGACCTGTTATCCTATCATAGAAAGAAATTTGGTTGGCTTGACACAACTTGTTGGTAACAGATCCCTGTTGGTTGTTGTGCTGGTAGGCTGTTTGTAAGCACCTAAAACATAATTGCAATTTCTGGAAGAAATACTAGAGCAAAAACTAACTGGTCTGTAATGGGCTTTATTCTTTCCTTTCTGTCTTCTAGAGCATCATGTGCCTTTCAGGAGTTTTTCAAAGATAACAAATGGCTGTGTGTACTTTTTTTTCTCTTCTTGTGTCAGCATTAACTTCTAATTTATATAGATCATTTCTCTCCTGAAACATCTAGACATAGCAGTTGTAGATCCTTCCTTAACTTCGTTGTTTTGTTAGACTAAATTAGACAATTTCTCTCTTAGTCTCCTCTTAGAGGTTGAGCTCTGTTTTCCCTACTAGTTTCTTCTTCATTAATTCTTATCATTGGCTTATATTTTCTTGAACATGAGTGATAAAATTTTGTGCAGCACTCCAGATATCTCATTGTAGTATCTGGTACAGCAGTTCTCTTTCTTTGCTGGAAGCACTTCTGAGTGATCTCAAGATTGCAGTTGGCTTTTCTTGGCTGCATCAAGTTGGCAGCTCACGCTTGTTCCCTGACTTTCAGAACAGAACAACCGTCTTTCACTTACAAGAGAATATGCCTGTTCCTTATCAGCTGATGCGCTCGTGACTTATATTCAGCCAATATAAGATTAAACTTTCCTGAGAAGGTAAGGGCTCCTAACACTGGTTTTTGAAAAGCTCTTTTTGAGATTATAAGGTAGCTGATGCTGATGATAAGGGAGAAGATTGCTTGCCCTTCTGTGGAAGAGCTGAGGAGGATATCTTGGAGAAAGTCTTACTTATGGTAGCATCTTCTCTGCAAGTAAATGTGCTAAAATGATCTTTGTAGACATTTAAATGTCTAAAGTGTTTAAAGAGCCCTAAGTTTTAAGAAGGTTGACACTAAAAATATTTAGCTTTAAAGAGACCATCTGTTTCTCCCACAGCTATGAATATCCTGCGGTTGAAATGTTGAGATTCCATCACAGGATGAGAGAGGCATTGTGGATCTCAACATCCTGGTCAGCCTAATTGATTGATTGGTTTCTGCTATGTTAAATCTTACTTGAGAAAACTCTGTCATCTGTGGAGATGCAGCAATGTCATGTCCGTTTATCATGGTGTGTCATTCCTCACCCATCTTATTTGCCTTTGTTTCTGGACTGTCTTTCTTCCATGTGTAGACCATGATATTTCAAAGAACTTCAGTTTGTGGTTTCTGTGGGGGATTGTTTTTCTTCACATGAACTTCTAGACTTGAAAAATTTCATTTATATTAAGAAGCAGATTCTTGCAGATTCTAGGATTTGCCTTCAACCATCTATTCCTGTGCAATAGATAAAGAAGTACAGTTCCCTGCTGTCACTCTATTGACTAAGGCCATTACCATCCT